ATATATTAAAGCCCAAGCTTTTGATGGAGAAGGATTGTTTGGTTATCTAGATGCTTCCTATCATCGTCTTAGAACCTCCAGAATAAACTTTTTTCTCCCAAAATAACTTTCCAATAAGGCTTAATTTGTATTCCTCAATTCCAATTGCAATATCACCGTCCGATAGTGTAACCCCTTTTTCTTCTCGGTCCGACAAAAGGAATTTTTTGAGGTTGTTCACGACCTCCTCTTCTATGTCTACTGAAATTTTCCAAAACACCAGAACCCCTAAGAAACACTAACAGAAAAAACAAAACCAAGAGAAGGAAAAAGAAAAAGAAAAGACAACACAAAGACACAGTAAAAAATCCGCAATTAATGCATTCGAACACCCAATTGCAGAGAAAGAAAGGCAGACAAACCCTAAGAAACTAAGACAGCAAAAACCAATGACCTAATCGAACCAAAAACCCTAAAGAATATATAAATCTTAAAAAAGAATTGAAACTCCAACGAGAGTGACGCAAACCCTAAGGGGACAGGACTTGGACTCGTCCGCCCTCGTTGAACATACTAAAAATTAATGAACCTACCGTGAGATAAAAATAAAAGTGCTCGAAATTGTCGCAGACTGAAGGGGTAAAATATACAATGCCTCCTTGTATTATATGAAATCTGTGCACTTTCCCCTGCTATATCAAAAATTGCGTCAAAACTCCTTGTATTCAATTAATAGTAGCACGATTCCTCCCTCTCCGTCTAATTTGACGGCGCGTGCAGTACACATGTCCATATTGCAATAATTATTCATTTTTTTCTTTTTTTTTACATCAAATTAAAATTACTATTTTGTCCATTGAAAAAAGAAAGAACAAAAATCCCAAAATAACCTTAATTCATCTTCTACCTAAAAAAAATCCCCAAAAAAATATCTAAAAAGTGAACAAAAATTTAAAATTGTATCTCCTCTGGCGTTGCTGCTCGACGTCGGGGAGCTCGAGCTCCGATTCTTCTACCGAGCCCTCATCACTGAGTTCATCGCCACCCTCGTCTATTGCACCGTCAGGATGTCAGGTCCCACCCCCGAATTCAATTCAAAACCCTAGATCTGAAACAAAATCTCAAGTTCCACCCACAAATTTTCAACGGAATTTTCAATGTTGCCGTAGGAAGCAGCGTCAAGAGAAGAGCCTTCTCTTTCACTTTTTTTCCTGTCGTATCTGAAACAGGGAGAAGCCGCCGTAGCTCCTTCGCGAAGGTACTGGAGACTGTACGAATTTCATGAACAGCTTGGGAATATCCTGTGGGTTAATTCCTAAGCCGGTATCTTTTACCTAAATCATTATTACAAACATGTTTATTAGAAACTTCTAATGATTTAAAAATCAGTTTTCCAGCAAATGCACACCAATATAACAAGCATACAAAAGAAATTAAAAAGGAAACAAACCTCTATGCGTAAATAAAAGTGATTATCACTTGGGCCAGGAAAAAAGTCAGGGCCCGAGGATCTCTTAGAGATTTTGCCACAAAAGCAGTTATGGAAATACCACCCTCTTTCGTTAACTTGACAGTCGACGTCTCGATCGAGGAGATCTAGGCCGTCCCTAATAAAGGCTCTGTCGTCGTACAAATCGAGGGAGAACTCTTGTGGCGATGGTGGATGGAGGCACATATTTTTGGGAGAGCTCCTCAGCCATATAGCTCATACGCAGATGCCACATATTTGCTCCTTTAATATGAGATCTGGTTTTTTTCTTTTTTTTGTCTTTTTTTTTTTTAAAATTAGGGTTTTCACCCTTTGGAGTAGAAGAGAAAAACTGAAGAGAAAATTGGTGCTCAAACTCAATTGACAAGGACATAACGGGAAGTTTGACAAATATGTAACGGTGTTAGCACTCGGACACAAGTTGGGGAGCGTCAGCTGGCCTACGCTGAATACAAGGGGATTTGACATAATTTTTAAATTACAAAGAAAAAATACGCACATTTAGTATAATATAGGGGAATTTGGTGCAATAAACCCCATACTGAAGTAAACTACTGAGATTTGCTTACAATCGGATGGGTCTACATTGACATCTATATTATCTCCAAGATTTTAATGGAAGTTTCTTTCTCATCCACCGAGGGATTGAATAATAACCAATTATACCATTGAGGATATAAATTATAGATTATAATTCCCAAAACAATTGCATGTCATGCCCTACTCTAGAAAAGCAAGGAATAAAGGAGCAATCAACAAAGGCATTTTGATAACTTTATCATATTAAATTGTCCTTGGGGGACTCGCTAGACTATGTTTGCTATATCACATGGCTACCATATAAATGTTAGTTATCTTCATTGGGGCCGACAACCTGAGTTCGAATTACAAACATAATAACTTATTTAAATATAGCATTTCCATCCTTTTTCCTTCGTTTTTTGTTTTTATTACAGGAATAAGTTTTTATTCATATTATTGATCATATCGCCTTTTATGTATAATTACCAAATGCGATGAGCCTAAGTGGCAGTCTCGTGTGCTTCGTAACTTTATTTGTCATAAATCTGTGCTTTATATTGACAAATATATAGGTTTGATTTTGACTATTAGGCTTGAGAATTACCATAAACTATTTTAGATTTTTTTTAAGTTACATTATACCATTATTATATTTTATTATTTAATTCATATATTAATTGTCATGAATTAGTATTCCTTTTTATGTATAAAGCTTCATAACTCTTTTATTTATATTTTACTTTTTATTTGTAATATATTAAAATAATCATATTTTAACGATCTTCGATTTGACATTAATATTGCATATATAAAATATAAATAGTTTCATCTATCTTTTTAAAATTATTAATTTTATATCAAATAAATTTATAAATATCAAATAAAAATATAAATTATTTTATGAAATAATTGATACAACATAAAATAATTAATTTAATCTATTTTTTTCATCAATACGACATAAAATAATTAATTTAATCTATTCTTTTCATAGATTTTGAATAAAATATGAAAATTAAATATTACATAAAATATTATAATAAATATTACACAATATTGTTTTGCGATTGAAATATATTATATATGGAACTAAATGTTATTAGATATATGGAGTTGTAAATAATATCTAGATATATATAATTTCAAAAATATAATTAAAAAAAATATCTTTTGTCATAAATTTAATTAAAAATATTTTTTTTTACACTTTGCCTACCTAACTTTGATTTTTTGCTACACTTTGCCATTTTCGGTCACCGCCGGCCTCATAAACCAATACGTGGCTCTTGTGCCTTATTGACACGTGTGGCCGGCGGTGACCAAAAATGGCAAAGTGTACAAAAAATCAAAGTTAGGTAGGCAAAGTGTAAAAAAAAAAGTTTTGTAGGTAAAGTGTAAAATTTCGGATAGTTAGGTAGGCAAAATGTAATTTTTCCTTTTTTTTATTTTATTGTACAAATATTAGTATATTTAAGTACATGTGTAGTACACGGGTATCGTTTAGTTTATTAATATACCTTAAACAACCATTTTAGTATATTATTTGAAAAAAATGTAGAGATTGTGCATCAATAAAAAATAAATATGAAAAATATTCAAAAAATTATGTTAAATGAAGTATGTATAAAGTTTAAATGTTATTATGATGTTGTAAACAAAAATACGAATTAATATCATAATTAAAAATTAAATATATATATTTCATAAATTTAGAAAATATTACATTTGTATATATTAATTTATATTTTAAATCATCAAATTTCATAAACTTAAAATACCTAAAAATTAATATATGAGAAATCAATCACTACAATACAATAAGGCATTTAAGAAAACTACAAAAATAAAAATCAAATTTATAGTATTGTAGTTATCATTTGCTTTGGACATATATAATTTGATATATATAATTAACAACTATTACTTTTAACAAATCGAGTGTATATCACGATTTCATGTTAAATAATACAATTTTTTAGTTCTTTATTTTTTATAATTTACCAATAAGAATATAGTTATGTTATTAATTTTCATATAAAATATTAATTTTTTTCAAGTACGCGCGGATATCGTACTAGTTTACATGAAACCCCTTGGTTTGCCACTGGCTACTAAGGAATCAAGAAGGATGTAGCGTCATGGCCAACAACGCCACTTTTTGCTATGAAAAAAATTGGAAACATGTATATAATGAAAGTAGTAGATTGTTAACTCAAAAGTAGAAAATTAAATTTTTATTTAAATAATTTGTCTTATTTATAGAGGACTATTTTTGAATGAAATTTAAAATTGATTTGTTGTTCTTTTGCGTTAAATTTAATTTTCAAAATTATATACTTAAATATTGTCCGACTGTTTTCAAAAATTCTATGGCGCCCATAAAGGCTTCATAAGTCATGCCACAATATGATTTTTTATATGAGGTAGTTTTATTAATTTTATTTATCAATTTCAATATGGCGCATATGCTGGACAATAAGAAGGAAGGAATGCGTATCTGGTGTTTCCATTAAAACAAAACAATAATGGTAAAAATAAATCTCACTATTATGGTCATTAATTAGAAATCTACCTGAATTATGAATTTTAATAGTCCACGTCCTATTGGAACTGTGTTTTCTTTATCAACCTGGAATTCCTTTTCTAGCAGACTTATTCTCCAAGTCAACTTGTTGGTAGAAAAATGTTGGTTGCTCCTTGTCTATCGTGCGCCACCGCCGTACCACCCATCGTGGTGTCGTCGGTCCAAGTTTCCGTCGTCGAGTCCAGATGGTCGCCATCGAGTTAGCGTTTTGTCATCATTTCATCATTGGGATGCACATCAACCTCCCGTCACTATGTTCCGCAGTCCACAGGCACTAGACACCTCATGCAAGCCGTTTAGGCACGCTGCAGGGTCGTTGGGGCTTGTGCATTAATCCTGCGACTTACTCACGCTAGAAAGTCGAATGTTCGCTGAGTCGCGAGTAGTGCCAGCTTCTTGGGCAAAAATAGCGTTGTCGCGTCAACTCCCACTATGCTCAAGCGCGCGGCCAGGGCTGGCCACTGTGCATTCGACAATGCTTGAGTTTTGATGCACTCGCGCTTCTCGGGTCTACCGTGCGCTCGGACCTACAACTAAATCGCGTTCCACACATGGCACCTCTACGTGGTGCTCGCTCCTATTGTCTAGGACCTTCCACCTAGTCCATTTGCCCGCGTTTTTGCCAATGCACCCACATGCCTGCGATCTCAAAAACCCCTGCGTGGTCGTACGCGGTTGCGTACAAGGAGTATGTCATGGAGCTAGGACTATTCAAGTAGTCGAGGTCTCCGGTCATCATGGTCGTCCCAATTCATCCGCAGTCAATCACGATAAAAAATAAATTCAACAATTTACATCAATGATCCTATACCCACGGATGGATTTACATGCTCGTCTAAGAAAAAATTAAATCTATCTGGTGTCCCACCGGGCGAACAATTATTATAAGCATTCACAACCAAACTCCTCGACATGTCCGAGGATTTAAAAACGTGCGTCAAATTTAAACAAGCACACATTTCTGGCCATAAAAGTGGAAACACATACTCCTACAAAACTGAGTTCAGCAATATATTCGAAAATATGGTTGCGCTCGTATCCACGTAATTCACATATGCCTAAAAGACTGAACTTTGCAGAAAATCGAATTGAACAAAGTCCTCTGGTACCACTTGTGGGGCACCATCAGGATCGTCAAAATTGTACAAGTTACGAACTATCTACGAATTAAACCTTTAGTGCAACGAAACTAGAAGCTAGGGTTCAACGCGTACCGTTTAATATTTTCCGACTCTGAGACGTTACTGATTTTCGCTGTTAGAGATCGTCTAGACCTCAAAGTTTGTTGGGCTGCCAGACTAGGCCTCATCACCTTGGGCTCCGTATTATGGTCACTGGCTGATCGGGCTCGCCAAAATATTGCTGGACAGCTGGTGGTCGTTGGAGGTTGCTGGTGGTCGGTGGACCATGTTGGTGCACGCTGCTGCCCGGGTCTGTGCGCTGGTGCCAGAGGCTGGCTGCATCACTACATGAGGGGTTCCATGTTTCTCCATGGACTGCACGAGGTCTCTCGGGTCTCCTCGCGAATGACCAATGTCTCCTCGGGTGTTACCGAGACTGCCGCACACTGCACGCGAAACACGCGCAAGGGCCTAGGCGCCCGCGAGAAGCTCGCATACCCACTCGTATGCACTCTGCCACCCTCTCACGTTGCATCTGCCTGTGTGCGGAAGCGTAAGGCATCCTCTGAACCTGTGCACAACCATCTCCGGTCCTGCGTGCAACTGAGACAGGTCGGAGGGGTCTAGGACGGCAGCATGCATTGTGCGGCCTGGGACGGGGCTGAACGCGCCGTGGCGCGTGGATGATCCTTCCAAGGTCGCTGGTGCTTGCCGGAATTCTGGGAACATCATCAGGATGTTGTCGGATGATCGAAGGCGGCTAAAGGGCTGTATATATTGGACAAATATATTTTTTTCACTCGATCTATCTCGAATCTTCTGTTGTGTGACCCGATATCTTCTCTGTTCGTCTACGTGGGCAACTATAATGGAGATATCTCGATGGAGATTTCTAGAGAAGAAGAATAGAAGAAGAGAACATGAAGGGGACGACCAAAACGTGTGGCATCGGTGTGATATATCTTCTCCCAATCCCAAGAGCCGTGATGTATTTATAGGCAACAACCGGGACCCTAATGAGGCATTAAATTGGGCTTATCATAATTGGGCCTAATTGTGGGCCGAGACTACTTAGCCCAAAACCAAATAATATAGGCATTTTACTTAAGTAGTATTATTGAAAACTCCAAATTTAATTCCCAATTTAAGATTTAAGCTCCAATTATAGTTACTCAATTTACCTCCCCATGTTTAAGATATAATGTCCGTCAATTAATTTAATTACTGACTATTAAATTAATTGACTTCATGAACCGAAGATAGCACCACTCAGTACATTATTATTATGTTGGAATAAATTTCACTGGCCAGGTTTAACATAATAATCCTTCTTATCTCACTTCGGGAATATCATCAAACCTCAACTTTGTGAAGTACATAGTGACTGTAAATATTATAACAGAGCACCATGTCATTTAGGAATCAATACCCAAAACAAACAGTTACTGGTCTATGTCAATAAACCTCACTTTTTATTTTTTTTTTCTTTTTTTTACAGAGGTTCTAGGCTTGCGCCTGACTAGTCCTCAGGGAAACAACTTTGGCCCCTCAGAAACTGCCTCCAGTTAAACCGTGGTAGCCACACAATGGCTCCCAGGTGCCTAATACCCTCAACTACCGCGCACAAGGAGTCGATCCCCAAGTGATTGCTCGTTGGCCCCCCCAGCTACAAGTTGGTCCCACCTATCCAGCCGCAGGTTCCCACCAAAGTGATTGCTTCATGCTGGCCCCCCCAACTTAATGCTGGCCCCACCTATCTAGCCGCTGGTTCCCCCTGAGTTTCAGCCTCCCACACTGCCGCTTGTAGTCCTCAATATTAATTGTTCCACCATTGTGCTCAGGGGGGCTTGAACCCTTGACCTAGTGCCAAGAGTACCTCACTCTTAACCAGTAGGCTAAGAGGTCATTGGCTAAACCTCACTTTATTGATTCAAAGCAGTAATTACTACATACATGTGTTTGTTTATATGTTACGGGTTAAGACAACGCAGTATTAGCTGAGGCCTAGTTCTTTTACGCCGATTAGTATAAAACGAACTGCTCCTCTCTAGGATCTGTTAAATATACAGTTTGTACTAGTGCAACTAATCAGTCAAGATCAACTGTGTTGTTGACACTACAACCGTTTTGATGGCATGTTCAATTTCCATCTAGGTTGTGAATTAATTTCTTTATGTTTCGCAAGTAACCAATAAATGATCTTATGCCCATCCGTGATGAACCATTTATCTAAATGCAAAACAACAGAACATAAATGTCGTTTAAATAAACATGGTTCTCATTCAAACGGGAATAGTGTTAACAAAAAAGTCAAACTTTCAGTATACACACCAACAGTGGCATCCCGAAAAATATATATATCTTTGACGTTCATCCGATGACTACAAAACTCGGCGGCCTACATCACCGGCTTCCACTAAATGCAGCACTATCACCGGTGAGGCAGACAAAGCACCGGCGAGGCAAGCGGAGCACCGACAAGGCCAGGCGCACTATCGTCCACCCACAGTCACTCGCTCGCGACACCTGAAGGAAGACACCCGTGTGACGTAAGTAACGCACGCGTGCAACACGCAGACATCGCACGAGCACGATCAGACGACCTACATGCAGCAACACGAGCGACCTTGACAACCAGCAGGAAACGACGCGCGACCCGACCCGACTCCTCTCGACGATGCTCCGCAATCGGAGGGCAGCGATCTGGTGATTCGACCAAGGTGGTGCACGACGGGTATGAAAGCACTCTTTAAATTAATAAATCATTAATTTATTGATTAATTACTATCTCTCCACTTTAACAAAATTTTATGGTCTCAACATTATTAATTATAGAGATTTTACTCTGATTGCGCATCATCCCATTTAATTACTATGTGATGAATAAATTATANACCCAAACATTCTCACAGCAAATCCTATCTCAGCTTTCTTTAAATAAAAAAATAGCCCATGACACATGCTAAAACATTTAGGCAAACTTCTTAAATCTAACATTAATTAGTACCATAAAACTAAGCATCAACCCAATAAATTTAAAGCACATCTACTACTACATGCGTATACCAATTCCAGTTCTTCTCAAACATTATTTGCAAATTTGATCTCTGGTCCATGAGCACCATTAAAATGTGTTGGCTTGTGAGATTTTCCTCCATTTTTAGCTCCTTTGCCAGAATGAATTTTCTTTTCGAACCCAAACTCAATGTCGCCATCTCTCATGTTGAAACTGGGCTTTTGCCTGGATTCCCACTCCTTCGGGCCAAGCCCATGGCTTTGCTTACTGGGCTTGGACTGTTTGTGGGTCCCATCCATTGCCCGGTTGTGCCGCTTGCTGCAGAATCGGCCAAGGACGCAAGCCACCGCGGATATGACCACAATCACGGCTAGGACAACGAAAACTGGCCCGAACGAACCATTAGAGTGTGACGATTCAGGCCGGCTGGTCATCATAGGATTTTGGTACACTTGATCTAGGGGTTGTGACATTTTTCCTTAATTTGGGGGAGATTATAATTTTGATTTTGGCAAATTTAATTTTTGGAATTGGAATTGACTCAAGAATATTTGGTAGAGAATTGAGCAAGTTTATGTTCTTTGTGTGAAGGAAATGGGTTTAGAGAACTTTGTTTGCTTTGAGGTGGTTTTATGCAAAAACCTTTAGCATTGATATGGTTTATTTGAATTTAAAAAATAAAATAAAAAAATTTAAAAAAAGGAGGGGCTTTCTTTAATAAAGTGGCAACTAAAGACATTATTGGTGCCTTTTTTTAACACAAATAGGGAGAAGAATATTTTGTTGCTTATTGATGAAAGAAAGCTAGGTTTCGGCTCCTTTAAAAATATCACATTAACCAATGAAACAGGGCCAGGAGATTTATCAGTGCTTTCCCTTTATTGTTGGTTTGAACAAATGTTTGAACATTGACACTCCGCTATTGGTTGTGATTTGTGTCGGGGCGTGATGTTTGATTGTTAAAACACATCTTCAAGGAAACTATAGGTGTTGATATATACCAAGTTGAAGAAACCAATGAGAAAAATGTGTAAGAGTAGATGTCCAACATTCCAATTTGATTGGATTTATTAAATTTGTAAAGATAGTTTTTATATTATTTTGAGGATTTATTTTATCTTATATATTTGTATTTATTACAACTTTGGACATAAGATAAAGTCTTTAGATTATTATTAACAGATTTGGTTTCTAACTATCTTCCTCAATGTAATCGACCCAACGAACGAACCGATCTATCGGTGAAAGAAAGTACCAGCAATTTGATATATGGTTGCGCATTTGATAACAATCATGGATCATGTTTTCAAAGTAAAGACTTTTAAATAAGTTGTAAGTCGATGGGTGTTTCGAGACAGGACATTAAAAAACCTGGTAAGACATGTGCATATGATACATACTTATTGGACGAGGATAATGCAGTCCATCAACATTAGCGTGTGGACACAAATGCGTATATGCAAATGTTTGTTGCGGAACAAGTTGGTTGAACATGGTCCGATGAAATTCTTAGTTCGAACTTTTTGTTTGTAGTTTTTTTTAGCCGAGTACGATCAAAAGATCGACCTCGGGTCGTGTCTCTCGAGGAAGATTATTCGGGGCTTTGTTCACTATCTAGTCGTCAATTCAAAAAACCAAAAATAAAGTCCTAATCATGCTACTCGCTTGATGGGATTGGATTGAACGAAATTAAACTAAGAATCTAAAAGCAAATGATGAAAGATGTAAGATTAGGGAGAAAGATCGAATCTTTGGTTGCACGGAGTATCCATAACTCAATTAAATGGAAACAAACAAGACAAAACATGTGAGCAAAGTGATTCTAGATAATCTAACACGAGTTTTCTACACTAAATCATTATGCTTTGAGCAAAGTCGAGACCTTTATACTAGATAAGCACGTATTAAATTCCTAACACACGTAAGCAAGCAATGAAAATAAAGCAAAGACCTAGAATTGAGCATAAACACGTAATTCAAAAAACAAAGTCGAAGTAGTAAGCCTTAAGCAAGGTACTTACTCTTCTATCGCATGCTCGGACGAAAATAGTGCGTAAAACTCCAGTCTTGATAAAAAACTAATATTACCGGAATTTTGCCGGAAAAATCGAGTCATGAACCTCCAAAACAAAAAAAAAAAATAAAAAAAAGAGAGAAAATAAAGAGGATTTCCCAACTTAAAAGTTGAGAAATGAGGGATGGTGTCCAAAAATACAAAGCACAATGTCTATTTATAGCTACACCACAAACACACACTAAAAACACACACATTTACTAAAATTCTGCAATTCGCGGTTCTCGAAACCTTGTTCACAGCGAGTGTGGCATGTGTTGGAGTGGCAAATGGATTTCATAGGTGCGCTCACAGATCGCGAACCGCCGTTCGCTGCGAGTGTCGGGCCTTGCTGCCACAGGTCGCGTTTCGCCGGCCGCGAACCTGGAGTCGCTGCGAGTGGTGTTCCTTACGAGTGTGGGCTGTCTCGGGCGCTCGCTGGCTCTCGCGCGGCACGAAGTGGTGTTCGCTACGAGTGTGGACGGCCTCGGGCACTCGCAGGCTTACTCGCGGGGCGCGAAGTCCATCTTGCAGCGAGTGTGGTGGGCATGGGCTATCACACGCACCTGCTCACGAGTCGCGAGGGTTGTTTCGCGGCGAGTGCAGCTAAGAGCTTTTGGACGGGGCACGACTCGCTGGGCGCGAACAGTCTTCCGTTGCGAGTGGTTGGGTGCGTGTCTTGCAGGCTTGTCGCGCGCTCGCGAACCGTGCTTCGTAGCGAGTGCCCAGGGTTGGAGCAGGGTTGACTAGGGTCTCGGCTTGACTCTCATTCTCTCGGGTGACTCAGATGGCTCAAAAATTGTTTGGACAGCTCGGAAACATCCCGGAAATGACTCGTCTTCCCAAACTTGAAAAATGTGGACCTAATCAATACCAAAATACGCAAGAAAATACGCCAAAACATAAAAATATAAACCGAGAACAAAAATACACAAAACACGATAAATAGACCGTTCGAGACTAAAACGAACCTAAAATGGTTAAATTTGAAGTTTAATACTTGTATCCCAAGTACCCAAAGTTGCACACAATCAACCTAAACAGAATTTAAAGTAGACTCAAACAGATTGCGAAAGCCGTATAACAAAACTTGTACCTTCAGGAGAGCGTCCCACTCTCCCTTGGGATCTCTTTCATTAATGCAAACAACACAAACATTCTTCAAGAGTTTACAGTGTAGACTCCCTCTACACTCTACTTGAACAATGATATGCACTATTACTTATCCGACTACAAATCCCTTGTGGTTTTTTTTGTTTGAATCTCTCAAACTAAAACAGAATGAACCTCCGTCCACTCTGTATTTTTACACGCAAAATCCCTACTCACTTTTTATCACCTCTCTTAATATAAAATAGATTAATCACTTGAATACAGAACACACTCTCAATCTCAGATTATCTCACTAAAGAATGATAAAAGTGAAAACTCAATGCTCATCATCGTCACCTTTTTTATCTTCAACCCCATATGGTAAGTTCTTCAACAATCTTCACTGCCAAGTCAGGTCTTCTTTTGGAAGGTCCAGGTCGCGAGATCCGATCTCGCACATATGGTAAGTGAGCGCGCATGGAAGGTAATCGTATATGGAATGTGATTCCCGATTCTCTTTCATTAGACCTGCCATAATAAAACATGTATACGTATTAACTAATAAACGAAGTAATAAAACTAATCCAAGTAATTTAAAATAAACTTCCATTAAATATCTTTGTGATGTCTGAACCTGAGAGCAGATGAAGGTTCGTCGATTTATGGCCAATCCTCCAAACTTACAATTTCCCCCTTTGGCAAATAAATCGAAAACCTTTCTCAAGAACCTGCATAAGCAAACAGTTTGCATACATACAGAATCTATTCTAAAAGAATATGCAAAAGAGTGGTTGTTCATTTGAACAACATAAGACCCTGAACAATTAAAACCATTAGAAAGCAGTTCATAATAACCATTCCTAAACAATCATCAAAATCAGAAAATAAAAATAGTTCATGACATCACAAAACATATCAAATAGTTTTTAAGTTTAGCAACACACAACACATGCCAAATGAACATCCACGGGTCTAAGTGGATCCAACTTCATCCTCAGTCTCCTCATCATCAGAACCACCTTCTACTGATCCAGCTTCAGTGTCTTCCTCTGAAGCAGCTTCCTCTACCTCATCCTCAGCATCTGAGTCCACTTCATCTTCCTCAGCAACATCTGAACCTTCTCCAGCGCCTTCTCCTTTTCCTTGGCAGCAACAACTTTTTCTTTTCCCTTAGCCGTGGCAGCAAGCTTGGACTTCTCCCCTTTGCTACCAGCATGCACCTTCTTTTTCTCCCCCTTTCCTTCAGTGACCGGCTTCTTCTTGTTCTCCCCCTTTTTCGATTTAGTCACCAAGGCCCGCGATTTCATCAATCCCAGAACCTCCTTGTAATACTTCCTTTGATCAACAAGTTTCTTTTCCAGCCTAGAGAGAACCGCCACTTGCTGGTTCAGAAAGCCACGCAAGCATTCGCAAGAGGAGTGAGGCTTTTCGCAAATAGCCCAGGAGCAAACCACTTGCTCAACTTTCCACCGGTCAGTGTATTAGCAACCTCATCAAGGTCGTCAGTCAGAGGTGATAGAGATGCACCTTCAGCCAGTCCAAACACATAATTTATAACAGACGGCGAGAACACAACAATGCAGTTTCTTACAAACACCCTTTGAAACTTCGAGGAGGTAGGGTCATAAACAAAGACAGACATATTTGAATAAAATTCACCAACAAGTTGCAGACAATACTTTCCAACATTAGTAACAGAACTTTCAAGCCCAACCTTTTTTAAGAGTTCAAGAAAACCAAGTTGTTCAAAATGCTCTCCAACAATCGTCCGTTCAGGGTGAAATTTCATTTGTGAGAATATATCAGAAAAGCGAGTCTCAGACAGAGGGGAATAAAATTGATGGGAAATAGCATTACCAATAGCAAGAGGACTTTCAAGACCTTCATCTTCGGTATCGTCAATTGCTTTCTCATCTACAAGAGGAGAAGGCTCCTTGTCAGGAGCGATAGGGTTAACGGATTTCTCTAATTCAGCGGTGAACTTATCGATTTCCTTTTCCGTGGAGTCACTATCATCAACAGCATCAGGTGATGATTCTCCACCATACTTGGAAGCAGAATCCATAGTAGTAGTAGGTTCAGGCACGGTGATGGTCTTCTTCGCCTTTATCGGTTTTTCGGCAGTAACCACTGGGACTTTCTTTCTCTTTTAAGGGGACTTAGCGATAGAGGGTGAGCCTTGTCCACCTTTTTCACCATTACCCGCAACGTTGGAAGTAGCCACCTTTGCCGTGGAGGACTTTTTAGGACTTGGGGAAACTCTAGTTTCGACGTTCTGAGATGGTTGAGCTTTTTCGGTTGCCATGTCGGAAGGAGTTCGGTTTGATG